TCACCTTACCTTTTTCTTCAGCCTTTTTCCTTTGTCCTAAGAAAAAGGCACTTATATTCTAGATCACTCATTTAAACTCTGAACTCTGATGCTTTAAGCCTCTATGTCTCTGTACGTACTGTGTTCTCTGCCTGATAACCCTGCATCTCTTTCCCGCAAACTAATTAATCTTTCAGAGCCCTCTTACTTTTGAAGTGCACCTTAATCTTTTTTTTTTTTTTTAAGGATTTTATTTATTTATTTAACAGAGACAGACAGCCAGAGAGGGAATACAAGCTGGGGAAGTGGAGAGGGAGAAGCAGGCTTCCCACCAAGCAGGGAGCCCAATGTGGGGCTCGATCCCAGGACCCTGGGATCATGACCCGAGCCGAAGGCAGATGCTTAACCGTCTGAGCCACCCAGGCACCTGAAGTGCACCTTAATCTTCCCAGGAAAAGATTTTTAATTTTTATTTCCTCTCCAATTATGAAGGTAGTGTATTTTCAAAATTTCAGTTTTCATGGTAAAAAAAAAAAAAAGTTTTGATAATAAAACCCCCCCTGATATCGCACTCCTTAGTCCTAGGCATGTCCACCTGTGTCCTCGTTTGTGTACACAGATCCACTAGAATCACTTCATGCTCTTTAAGGTAACTGTTGGACATAGGCCTTCGGTGCCAACTGATTATCCCTGGGGTAGAGTAAAGCCTGGAATGTAGGAGACAACCAATAGAACTGAAGGAATGAAAAGAAGAGGACTAAGGCAATGCAATCACTGCTGATCTGATTTTCGTAGAACTGGGATTGGTACTTCTATAAGTCAGTCAGAGGAATCCTCTTAATAGATGTTGACTACCAGACAGATCACACACACACACAAAATTACATGACTCCCTTTCTCTCTGTCCTGTTCCCACTGTGTGCATTATTGTACACCCCTTTCTTCTTCTCAATGTCTAAGAAATAAGTCAATGAGAAAAATCCTTCAGGATGTTGATAATCCCCTGGTGTGGGAACGTAACAGAGTCTACTCCAGTAGCCATCTGCCTCTTTATAGATGATCTCACTGTCCTACAGTTTTGTGTCATCAGTGCAAAAAAGGACAATATTCCCTCTGCTTGCTACACAGAGTTGTTGTTAGGATCAAATATGAATGTATTCTATGAAATAGAAACGTAAGATTAAGATGGCAGCCAGTCTCTCTGATGGCCCCAATGACCTCTGCCTCCTGGTATTCATACCTTTGTCTAGTCCCTTCCACACTGTAACAGAATTGGTCCACGTGACCAACAGACCCACGAAGTGCTGGTGTGCCTCTTCTGAGATAAAGTTATAAAAGAAACTATGGCTTCCATCATGGTGGAGTCCTAGTCACTCTACCACCTCATCTCTCCCCCTATCTCTGCCTCTTTCTCTCCTCAGTCTGTGCGAAAGCCAGCTGCCATGACAAGAATGGAGAGGAACTGAAGCCTCTGGCCAATAACCACAGAGTGTGCCTGGAAGGGGATCTTCCCATCCCAGATGAACCTTATAATTTCAACTCTAGGTGACAGCTTGACAGCAACCTCATGAAAGACCCTGAGCCAGAACCATCTGAGCTATTCTTGCACTCTTAACCCTGAGAAACAGGGTGAAATAACTGTTTTGTTTAAAGCTGCTAAGTTTGGGGTAATTTGTTACACAGCAACAGGTAACATATTGGTGGTGTTATTATTTCCCAGTCACATGTATACAGCTTCCAAAGGTAACATTAAAATAAAACAGTGGCTTTCTAAATTACCATCTAGAACCAAGAGACCATGTGGTTTGATACCTGGTAAGAAAGATGTCTTCCACTTCTACATTACTTTTCAAATTCAACCTTCTCCCTACCAACAGTGATTACCCAAGGTCACATAAAACTGGTCATATTCTTCCCTACAGCTCCTGCCATTCTGGACCAGTTGTTAGACCTCTTTTGAAAGCAGTTCATATTTCCTTCTCTACCCTTATTCACTTATGCTCTCTTAATTTTGTCTCTGCATTTTCTAATCAAAACATAATTTAATATTTATTCTGTAAGCCAAAGGTTGGTCTTATTTACTTCCTGTAGATCTGTGTTGCTTAGCATCTTTTTAGAAATGACTAACAGTGGGTCAATTTCAATACTGTTTACCCAAGGAAAAACACTTAATTTCCAGTAGAGCCCCAAAACAATTTCTTCCAAATCTAGCAAATTTATCCACTTTTCAGAATATATTATCTAAAAAGTTTACACATGCTATTTGATAATCAGTGGCTTCATGTGTAGGGATAAGGGAAGACCTAACGAAGGCTCATGAATCTGTACTAAGACACAAAGAGAGCTAGAGGGTGCTAAAACTCATCGGTTAGTTTATTATGCTAACTATGACTATAATACAGATAAACTTTTGCTTTGCTCATTTTTATAGCTCTTATATATTTTAAGACATCAATATACTTTCCCTTCATAAAAGAGAAACAAGTCTGAGTGAAAAAGATACAAACTAACAAAGTGTTTTCCACCAGAATATGTCTTAATTTAAAATACTCAGATAGCCCAGTAATACGGTTTAGCATATCCAAGCTAGAACATTTATTCAGAGTTGTAAAAGATAGGGAGAGATTAATTGGCCGTACTCCCTATTTAATGTGTCTGTAGTAAAACAGGGAAATAACAATGTCTGTTTTATAAAAGTAAACTCTGAATTTAAGCCTCAAGAAGAGAATCAAGATAAATATATTTTTAATCCCTGCCCAAGTGAAGGAAATGGTAGGTTTATTACCTTAGACATAAATATACAAATGATGTAGGTGTTATTTCTTTAGAGACCTTCAGTTAATAAAGATGTTTTTTGTTTTGTTTTGTTTTGTTTAAAGATTTTATTTATTTATTTGAGAGACAGAGATCACAAGTAGGCAGAGAGGGGGAAGCTGGCTCCCTGCCAAGCAGAGAGCCCGATGTGGGGCTCAATCCCAGGACCCTGGAAATCATGACCTGAGCCGAAGGCAGAGGTTTTAACCCACCGAACCACCCAGGTGCCCTGAAAGATGTTTTTATTTAGAACTAGACAGTATTATGCTGAGCAAAATAAGTCAATCAGAGAAAGACAATTATCATATGATCTCTCTGATAAGAGGAATTTGAAAGTCAGGGCAAGGGGCTTGGGGGGTAAGGAAGGAAAAAATGAAACAAAATGGGATCGGGAGGGAGACAAACCATAAGAGACTCTTAATTTCACAAAACAAACTGAGGGTTGCTGGAGGGAGTGTGGGTATGGAGAGAGGGTGGTTGGGTTATGGACATTGGAGAGGGTATGTGCTATGGTGAGTGCTGTGAAGTGTGTAATTCATAGATAATTCATAGACCTGTACCCTCGGGGCAAATAATACATTACATGTTAATAAAAATAATTAATTAAAAAATGCTTTTAAAGATACCTGAAAATAAGGTTGAACTTATAATATCAAATATATGAATACAAGTCTTTCAATAACTTGACAGAGAAAATGCTGCAGGCAGCGTAATAGAACCATGAGAACAATCTCTGTGGATAAAATACTACTTGTGGGAAAAGGCAAAAAATACTAGGAGAAGTGGAGCCAAGGCTGTAGAAAGCCTCTTTGCAGGGAAGCACACCAGAACGCAGTTGGAAAAATGCTTGAGTGGCAGTGAATGCACAGTAGGACAGAGTCAGAGAAAAGAAGAACTGAATGTGGGAAGATGGAAAGAAAGAATGAAATAGGAAAGAGGAAAGATGGGAGGAAAGAGTGTTAAGGGGAGGGGAGGGAAGTGGCTGGACCTGCCTCTAGTCCATAGGTTACTGTGTACAATTTGAAAAAGGATGCTCCTCAAAGAGGAAACAGAGCCACACAAAGATGCACAGTTTGGTTAACAACGTTGGGGCTAGATTTCAGCCCCTACTTCCTCTCTTGGCTAGGCCACTTTATTCAGTGAACAACCTGTATAACTGTACGAAACAGTCCTGGAAAAGAAGGAAAGACCAACCCTGACAAAGAATGAGGCAGGCATTTATTTTCCTATGATGAAGTGCAGATGAATTCCTACAGAGCTATATATAAAATCAGATTTTGTCATCTTTTCTCACCGTTTTACACCTGCATTTGGAATTGTGTTCTAAGAAGAAACATTGCAGCTTAAGACATGGCTGCTACATGATTAGGGAATTTAAGGAAGTCTGGTACTTCTACCCATGTAAGGACAGATGTACCTGCCCTCGGGCTGGTGCCAAAGATCTGTGTACACAGTTCCTTACTGCCTGCATGTTTGGCTTTGCCGGGGCTTCTGTGGCTCACAGTCCTAGGGGCATCGTTGCTCATTGATAATAAAAGGGTAACAGGTGTCTCCAGCTGAATGTCCAAACTGAGAGTAAAGAGTACAGTTTCTTCAAAACGCTCCTTTGCAGAAGACATTTATCAACACCTGCTCTCAGCTACTTGTTAAAATGCAGACTCCTGGGCTCACTCTATCTCAGACCTATTGAAGCAGAAGTTCTGGAAGAGAGGCCAGAACTCTGTTTTAAACAATGGACATCAAAGCTGGAAAACTACTATTTAAGAGGAATGTAAAATATGACAAATTTCTGTGTGGAGATTACAAAAAAAAAAAAAGCAACAAGAGAATCAGGCCTAGCCTATGAAGAACAAACCACATATGCCTTCCTCACCAGATTTATAAGATTCAAAATCTCTAGAATTACAAATTCTTAAAGTCATAGAAAAACGCATAGATAGTTCCTGTGGTCTAATTATAGATGTTATTCTGAAATTAGGTTATAATGACACTTCAGGTGTTGAGTTGCTATCCTGACAGAAAAGCTCATTTGTTTTGAGAAATTTCATACTGGATGACTGACTAGAGAAGTTAGTCTAGACATCACTCCCTATCTCCATGTGCCAAACCTAGGCATCTGCTGATCAATCTTAGTTGATCAACTGTTCGTTCTTTTTTAACAGCACCTTGAGTGGCTAACAGAAAAATAACTGGAACAAATCTCTTACCGCTGTGAGGGGTCCTTCTGCTTGCGCCTCCATGGGACTCGTGGGTGTCACTGCAGCAAACTGGCCGGCAGTCCCCGTCTGGAGTTCCAGCCCACCCGTATACTGTTCTGAGGCGGCGGTGGCAGGGCATTCCCCAGAAAGTGCTAAGACCACACCTGAGGGTTCTTTCTGTAAGTGACTGCTTTCTGCCCAAGGACCCAGTAGGAGCTTCTCATCTTGAGGTGATTCCTCTAGGACTTGAAGGACTTCAGGCTCCTCATCAGAAGGGCTTCCAGTTGTTTTATGACCTAAAGCCTCATTTGTCCTAAAATCCCGAAGGTCCTGCTCCTTGTCCACAATCACCCATTCTTTGGAATCAACCTCCTGCTTGCAGGAGCTCAAGTTAACTGCTATAAATCCATTGCTGGCACCGCCATCTGCCTGTTCAGGGGTGTTGGCAGAGGCAGGCTTTGAAGCATCTGGAAGATATTCCTCATCATAGTGCCAGATGTGGTCAGTACGGGACACGGCGGGAACACAAGGCTTATGAAGCAGAGAAGGGAGAACAGATTCCTTGCCTGCACTGGAATCTTTCTGCATTTTCTCCAGGCTTAAAAAAACAGAGAGAAGTTACTCAACTGCTCTAGGAAAATATGTATTATATAACCTATAAGCTCTATACAGAACTAAGATTCACACACAGAGGAGAGAATAATATATAAATAAAGCATAAGGAAAATTTCACAGGCCGCTAATGTTCTTCTCCACCTGCCATAACCTGGTTTTGGAAGATGGAACCCATGGGGGAAAGACGGCTCTCCTGCTGCAGGGCAGGGGACAAGCCTAATCAGGTTGACTTATGGGATCTCGTTCACCTTTTCTAGCCAATTCAATCACATGGCTCTCTGCTCTCTGTGGGGGACTGAGGCAGAGCTGAGCCAAGGGGATTTTGCCTTATCAGAAGCCCTACAAAAGGAAATGAAGAAGCTAGTCTAGGAAAGGAAATGGAGAAGCTAGGCAGATGCTTTATGTGTTTTGTCTTCAGAGATGTACGAAAATGTAGACTCATTCAAGGGAACTTCAAAGGCAGAACTTTTAAGAAGAGCCACTATACCCGCTCAAGCAGGCGCAGCCCACTATGTACACGTGGGGCACCCAGTGGCGGGGGGTGTGGATGTGGCGTGGGGGAAGCTTCAAGGTATACTGCCTGTTTAGGTGGCTTAGAAGGCAGTCAACATGGTATATGAACCTCTGCTACCTGAGGGTCAGGCGACAGTGTGACCATTCGGCTGCACTTGCTTCTACAAACCGTTCTCTGCTTCAGGGTAGCAGTTTAAGGGATATGTTTCTTCCTTTCCAAGTTTGTAATTAGGTGCTTCAGTTCCTTCAATGGTTTCCTACTCATTCTAGGTTCTGGCCTGAGTTCATTTTCTTAGATTACTTCTCTTTTCTCAACTCATTTCTCAGCTCTTCCCACAGCAGGGACTCTCTTTTTAGTTCTGTTCTTTTATTAAACTAATTCTTTACCAAACTGAGCTTTTATCCCTATTGCATTTATATAGTTATTTCTAACATTAGCCACTACTTGAAATGTTTAAGCACTGCCCCAACTCAAATTCACCCTTTTGATCACATCAATGTATAAACAGAAGCTGCTTCTTTTTTTAAAGAGATTTTATTTTTATTTATTTATTTGAGAGAGAGAGAGAGAGAACATGAAAGAGGAGGGCAAGGGGAGAAGCAAGCTCCCCGCTGAGCAGGGAGCCCGATGCAGGACTTGATCCTGGGATTCCAGGATCATGACCTGAGCTAAAGGCAGTCGTTTAACCAACTGAGCCACCCAAGTGCCCTATAAACAGAAGCTTCTATTACATAGGTGTGAGGCTGAATGATTGCCATGGAAGAAAGAACACACATATATGAAGGACTGTCAAAAATGGAAGCTAGATTAGAATAGGCTGAATTGTCTTTGTTCACAGTAACTACCATGTCAATCAAATACGTGGTCCTTCTCACCTAACATCTCATTACCAAAAGCAGCCACCAGTGATGTACATTGAAGGGTGTGTGACTATCACTAGTCACTCGGCTCTTAATATTACTGCAGCCTTCTGTAATTCATAAACATATCCAAATTCTTTTTAAAGTTTCATTTCTGCCTTCTGTTATCAAAATTTGGGGATAATGGGACTTATAAACATGAACTAGAGTTATTACCAATGCATAGTTCTCCAAAGTTCCACTGTTCCTTCTTTCCAGGAAGAATGATAAACTTATTTGTGTCTATTTTTCCTACAGTACTTATTCATAAAAGGCATTCATTAAAGTGAATTTAAGTGCCTGTCCCTTGTGTATAAATTACTTGTTTCCCTCCTTCACATGCTCCCCTCCTTCCTGTATCATGCCTTCTTTATCACGTGCTCTCCAACTCTACATTGCATTTTCTCATTCCAATGAAAGAGATCCCTTACAAACAAAGCAAAAAGCTCATTTAACTTATGCTGGTGTCATGAAGTTACCAGCTCCCATTGCTCAGCTCCCAAACCCAAAGGTTGTTATAGAACTTGTAACAATTTTATAAGACAATTCACATTAGGAATCACAATGATAATTAAAAACATGGATGGAGATGAGAACTTAATCAAATCAGTACTACAAAAATGCAAAATTTTCTTATTTGAAAGAATAACAGAATTCATAATGATGATAATGATAACAGTACTTATATATCTTAGTAGCTTTAAAAAAAAAGAAAAATTATTTTATACCAGGTCTCAAGAAACTTGTCCGTATCTGGCTTTGACTCCAGTGTCAGACGTTTTTCCAGCTCAAAGCTGTGGATGGAGCGTAACTTCCGCACCAGTGGAACATCTCTGTCTGGCTGAGTAATCTCGGAGCGGACACGAACTGGGGAACCAAGGCTTGGAGCATTCAGAATACCGTTTACTCGACCGTGGCTATTCTCTTCCTCGGTAGCAGCCTAGACAAAATATAAAAGAAAGCCATGAAAAACATTCAGGTGACTGTATGTGTAGGAATCACTGAAGTCTTTCAAAATAATAAATGCAAATGCTTGGGAGGTGTTTTCAGAAATAAGGTATTCTGGATAGCGACATCATTACACACTTGTCTACTAACCCTTCATAAAGCGAGTTTTCTTAATTTATTCTCAGTTCAGTATTATTCCAGTTTTTTATATTTGGGGTACAAAGATAAACAGTCTAAAAATGTTTACCCACCTTGACTTTTTGTATACTGTCTAATGAAATACTTACAGGACTCCATTCCACTAAACTAAAAATAAAACCTGGAAAGGACATTTTCTTGGAGACATAAGTGGTCTCACAAGAGGTAGGATGGGTCACCAAGCCTGAATATCCCCATGTTCCCTCTCTAAAAAACAAGTGAAAAACCAAACAAAAACAAGAAAACCTGAAACTAGAACAAAAAAGAGCTGGGCAGAGCAGAAGGAGGTTGAACATGACACAGCTTAGAGCAGTGGGGCTGCCTAAGGACAGATGCCCAGAGTAGTACACTTACCAGAGAAATTAAACCTGACCCCAGTACTAGGGTGAGAGAGGGAAGTCTGGTATGTCCATTCTGATTAGAGACCCACAGAAGATGCCCAGTTGGTCTCAGACTGGGGGTCTACTCTGGCTACTAGCAGAAGCAGAAGACAATCTCTGAAGGAAGGCTTCCCAATCCCCAATTTAGGTTTACAAGATTGCCATCAATTATTAACTAATAAGTAAAACACTAAAGATAGTCAAACACACAAGAAGGCATGCCACCATGACTAAGAGCAGAAATAATAACTTTTAGAAAAACATTTAAAACTCCCTAAGACATGAGGGGCACCTGGGTGAGACAGTCAGTTAAGCATCTGACTTGGTTTCAACTCAGGTTGTGATCTCAGGGTGTGAGATTGAGCCCCATGTCAGCTCTGCACTCAGCATGGAATCTGCTTAGGTTTCTCTCTCTGTCTCTGCCTTTCCCCTCCTCTTTCTCTCTCTTATTTTTAAAGATTTATTTATTTGAGAGAATCTTCCAAAGATACCAGATATTAAACTTGTTAAGATACAGAATACAGAACTGTTATGCATCAAATGTTTAAATAAATAAAGGTCATTATCACAAAGATCAATAAGGGATTGTTTGAGATTAACTGATGAATTTAATATTAAATATTCAATTAACAAGTTAAATATCAAATTACCCAGAAAAAGACAAAGTTATTAACCAGTGAACTAGAAGACATAGCAAAAGAAATTACCTAGAATGGAGCACTGCAAGGAGAAAAAAAATACGGAAAAAAATTAATAAATTATATAACAGAATGAAAACGCATACGTTCACTTGGAGTCCCAGGATGAGAGAACAAAAAGAATGAATTAGTGGAAATATTTTGGGAGGAAATAGCTGTACATCTCCTAGAAATGATATGAAACTATGAATCAAAGATTCAGGAAACATAAGCTATCCTAAGCAGGATAAATAAAAAGAAATGTAAGCCTATGCACACTCTAGATAAAATGCAGAACACCAAAGACAAAAAAGAAAAGTTAAAAAGCAGCTGGGGTAACAAAGACAGAGAGCAATGGACCATCTACAAAGAAAAAAATAGTAAGAGTAACAGACTTCTGAACACCAATAATTGAATTCAGAGGAAAAATAACTGTCAGTCAAAAACTCTGAACCTAGTATAAACTCTCTTTAAAGAATGATGCTGGGCAACCCTCTCAGGTCCCCTCCCTCCTTGGAAACTTTGTACTATCATTTTGCAATCATTCAATAAAACTTGCATTGATGCCCACGAAGAAAAAAAAAGAATGATGCTAAAATAAATACATTTACAACTAAGTAAAAACTGAGAGAGTCCCCAAAGACCTCAACTAAAGGAACTTCTAATGGAAATACTTCAAGAAGAAAGAAGACAAGTCCAGGACTTTAAAAAATGCAAGGATATAGTAAACATCTTTGAAAAATCCAGACAAATATCACTGATATTAAAACAAAACAGTAGCCAAAACAAAACAAAACAAAACAAAACAGTAATACCAGAGTATCTGGACGGCTTGGTTGTTTAAGTGTCCGACTCTTTGTTTTGGCTCAGGTCATGATCTCAGGATTGAGAGACCAAGCCCTACGTAGGGCTCTCACAGAGCTTGGAGACTGCTTAAGATTTTCTCTCACCTTTCCCCTCAAGCCCTCCCCCACCTCTCTTCCCCCTCTTAAAAAAAAAACAAAAACCAAAAACAATACTAATAATCTAATTTGAGTAATGTTTTTGAAAAGGAAGGAATTGGGTGTCTGGGTGGCTCAGTCAGTTAAGCTGTCTGCCTTCAGCTCAGGTCATGATCCCGAGGTTCTGGGATCAAGTCCCACATCAGGCTTCCTGCTCAGTGGAGAGTCTGCTTCTCCCTATGCTTCTCCCTCTGCCTCTCCCTCTCTTCCTCTCTCTCAAATAAATTAAAAAATCTTTAAAAAAAATTAAAGGAAGGAATTAACAAGTAGAAGAGAACTAAATACAGGTTAAATTGTGATGATGGGTGAAAGAAACTAAGTCATCCCCATGTCAAGTGCCATTTCACAGTATCATATACACAGAGATACTCATGTGGGCTGGCAACTGAGAATGTCACAAAAGGTTTTTTTACTGTAAGAACAGTTTCTGCTTCTGGTGCAATAAAGACAGTTACAGTCGACATTATAAAAATCTGACACTGACTTCTTGACTACATTTCACTACCTATTCCTAATTACTATTAGTCCGCATAGGGCTTCTTCTTTTGTCTTTTTTTTTTTTTAAATAGTTTATTTTTCTTTTAAAGAATTCTTTTATTTTAATTCAAATTTGTTAACATATAGTGTATTATTAGTTTCAGGGGTAGAATTTAGTGACTAATCAGTTGCATATAATACCCAGGTCTCATCACAAGTGCCCTCCTTAATGCTCATCACACAATTACCCCAATTCCCATCCACCTCCTTTCCAGCAACCCTCAGTTTGTTTTTTATAGTTGAGAGTTTCCTATGGTTTGCCTCCTTCTCTGTTTTTATCTTTATTTTATTTTTCCTTCCCTTCCTCTATGTTCATCTTCTGTGTTTCTTAAATTCTATGCAAGAGTGAAATCATCTTGTATTTGTCTTTCTCTGACTTATTTTGCTTAGCCTAATACCCTCTAGTTCTATCCACATCATTGCAAATGGCAAGATTTCATTCTTTTTGATGGCTGAGTAATATTCCATTGCAGATAAACCACATCTCTTTTATCCATTCATCTGCCAATGGACATCTAGGTTCTTTCCATAGTTTGGCTATTGTGGACATTGCTGCTGTAAACATCAGGGTGTATGTGCCCCTCTGAATCACTACTGTTTGTATCCATGCAACTGCTGGGCAGTTCTATTTTAAACTTTTTGAGTTAAACTGTTTTCCTGAGTGACTGCACCAGCTTGCATTCCCACCAGCAGTGCAGGAGGGTTCCAAAGAGGGTTTTTTCAGTAGCCAGACCACAGAGCAGCATGTCATATCTATGCTGAGAATGATTTTACAAAGTGACTTCCATGACTGAATGTATATGCTGTTAATTTTTTTAATTATTAAGTTTAACAATATAGTATGTAACTTGTCTGAAGACAGACCAAGCCCCTCAGAATTGATCATGGAAAATTCTTTCCAAGATATATCTCACAAAGCACAACTAGCCAACTTTCTATCAACGATGTTAACAGGTATGAGCCCAAAGTCTCATTTTACACCTATAAATTTAACTTCCATCCCAACTAAATCTTTATAAAATCATAAGAAGCACCAAAAGCTAATTGGTTCATAATTCACTGCCCCTCCATTCCCATTTAGCTTCATCTTATCTTCTATGAAAATGGAAATGACAAGGACAGTAAGATCAAAAAGAAATTTGAGTACTAAAGAGTACTGCAAGAGTACTAAAAATTAACCATTTAATTCAGAAATCTGTATCTTTCCCCATACTTAAATACTGGTACTGTTTAGAATCCTAAGGAAGAAAAAATCATGTCAATTATTCAACATCCACTTTTTCAGCTTCTGATTAGTTTGGTGCTTTCCATTTCTAGCCCTTATTTCCCCACCTCCACTTAAGACAATTTTCACAACACGTACTCCTAGCTCCACAGGTCCACACTAAAGAAGGGGCCAAGAGTCTTGTCACATTATTTAGAAAGACTATTAACTTCTGACCTACAGATGTCTCTTCTTTCAGTCTCAGTGTGATTTTTTTTTAAATATCTTCATCTTTCCACCAAATACAAGATGAAAATTAATGTTTAGTGTCTATATCTCACTGTTATGGGCAAAATTAGCCAAGATGTTGTAAATATAAATACATAAATCACTAGTAATACAATTTTCTATCTATTTCTCATCCAAAATTAAGAATCATGATACTTTGTTACAGCAACAGAAGGAAAATATTAAGCACTTAGGAAAGAAACCCCGTCCTATGCAAGAAATACGCACCTTACAAATCCCAAGCTTTATCTTGTTCCTGTTGGCATCCATCTCTTCCCAGACATCCTTCTCCTGGGGACGTGGGTGTCCCAAAGATCCCGGCAATTTATCTGGTGACACACCAACAGGGATGCCATTCTCCCCATCACTAAGCTGTTCATCTGGAAACACCTCATCTGTATTTTCCCGAAGCAAGTCTCCTGGGATGGGAGTGGCATTGGCAATTCTAAAAATGTGGGGTGAAAGAAAGGTAGAACTTTAAAATACCAGAATCAAAGATTACTATGAGACTATCTTACATTTTGCCTCTGAATTTAAATGATCAAGTTTATACATAATTAGAAGAGTAAGACAAAATAAAAACAAAACCTCAGAAACTTAGGCCATGCCAATTCTACAAAATAAAACTATTTTTTTTGAGGGGCGAGGGGCAGAGGAAGAGGGAGAGAAATAATCTTTTTTTTTTTTTTTTCAGCTTTAACAGTATTCATTGTTTTTGCACCACACCCAGTGCTCCATGCAATCCATGCCCGGGAGAGAGAGAATCTTAAGCAGGCTCCACACCCAGTGTGGAGCCCAATGTAGGTCTCGGTCTCATGACCCTGAGATCATGAACTAAGCTGAAGTCAAGAGTCAGATGCTTAACTGCCAGCCAACCAGGTGCCCCAAAACGTCTATTTTTGATGAGGAAAATTTGCAGGATGATCTAAAAATACAAATTTTAATACAATAACTCACTGATTTAAGAATCACTTTAAAAGTAAGAAATATTTGGTCTAGGGGCAGTGGTTGGCTCAGCAGTTTAAGGCCTCTGCCTTCGGCTCAGGTCATGATCTCAGAGTCCTGGGATCGGGCACCACGTCAGGCTCTCTGCTCAGCAGGGAGCCTGCTTCCCTTCCTCTCTCTCTGACTGCCTCTCTGTCTACTTGTGATCTCTGTCAAATAAATAAATAAAATCTTTAAAAATAAATAAATAAATAATTTTTAAAAAAAGAAATATTTGGTCTATTTTCTAACAAGTCTTGTGTCAATTTTAATATTTTCTACTCTTTACCCATTTTTGCTGAGAGTAACAAAAACTATAAACAGAAAAATGTCAAGTGTCATTATGACATAAGCGGGTATGAGATCAGTTATATATTTTTAATAGTGTAAAATGTACATTTGCTTCTTCATTTACAGACTTTTTACAAGTATCTACTCTATGCAAGGCTCTAGGGACATAAAGAGGAGAAAGGAAATTCTTGCCCTCTGGGTGAAACTAGAAATACTGTAATTATACAGAACAATTATATAGAACTGCATGAACTGACCAGCAGCAAAATGAAAAAACATTAATTGACATTTGTCAATATATTTCTTTCAAAGTAATTTCGTGTCCTGTTTATATGACTGGTTGTCTCTCCCTCAGAGTTCTGGCTTGTGAGGAGCTTTTTCCAGTTCTGTTATTACTTTTTAAGTGATCAGGTCCCTGTCAGATTGCATGTTCTGCAACTCTACTTTGTATACTAGTTTGTTTTGCTTTTCAATATTGCTGACTGAACACAATATTTACCACACAGTGAAATCTTTTCTAAGTGATCTGGAATGTCTAGAAGTAGAGAAGAACCGGTTTTCAGTAGACTATACTGACACACACAATTCTTCTGAGTGGGAAAATAGGCATCTTCTCAGTCTACACCTGGCCCACGTGTCATCCATATGTCATGTTGTGAGAACAAAGATCAGTCATTCTTCAGGGACTTGTCCTGCCTGAGCTGATGACCTTCGTTACCATCTCTCCCTATTGGGTCAACAGTAGACAATGAATCTCATCTCGGTATGTTGTAGGTATAATTTAGAAAAGCACTGATAAGAGCGCCCAGGGAAAAAACCTTACAGCCCTGTAAAACAGTTCTTGTAGTTCTGAAACTGGGAACACACCGAAAAGGGAATTCGAAAAAAAAAAAAAAAAAGGAAAAAAGAAAAGAAAAGGTAGTTGGGCCTAAAATAGTTCCTATGAAAGGGTTTATTCTAAAAGTAACTAAAGTTCAAAGATAAATAAAGTTCATGAAGTTCATAAATAATACTCTCACATATACTTTTGCACTCACTCGACTCCTGAATGTAGGATAATTTTTCTGGGAAGGAATTTCTTTCTTTCCATAGCTCAAACTCCAGATTTGGATCAGAGTTACAGAAGAAGGGAGAAAATAGTAATTATGTAAGGAGTAAAAATGGGCAAATAAATGCAGAGAGGAACCTGAGTCATGTGGAAGAGAGCCCGTGTGGGGAAGTGGTGAGAGCCAGTAAGGAGCTCCAAAGATTTTTCAGATAGAAGTTCAATATCCTTTACTGATTGACGCATACAAAGGACACCAAGAGATGTGCTACATGGTAATCTAAATGTTTATTGAAAGAATTCCCTCTGTTCATGAGGAAAGGGAGTGACAAAAGAATCAATATCTGAATTCAGTAAGTTCAGTCTACCAGCCCCACATTTTTTCCCATTTTCATCAGTATTCTTCCAAATCCTTTTTTCCCTATGCCTAAGCTACTATTCTGCTTCTTTCCAACTACCCCCGTTCCTTGGCATCTCCTTCTCCTCTCCTGAGGAAACAAAGCACTCCTTGACCTATGAACTGCTTCTATTTTTACTCTATCCTGGTTTCCCTCTTCTCTCTGATACTAAACACTTCAAGGGGCTCCCACAGCTTCCCTACATGGGCTCTCTTCCACATGACTCAGGTTCCTCTCTGCATTTCTTTGCCCACTTTTACTTCTTACATAATTACTATTTTCTTCCTTCTCCTATAACTCTGATCCAAATCTGGAGTTTGAGATATGGAAAGAAATTCCTTCCTAGAAAAATTATATTACATTTAGGAGTCGAATGAGTGCATATGTATACATGAGAGTATTATTAACACATGGTTTGTGTTGGGTGGTTGCAGGTAAGGTATAAATTACAGAAGCAGATTAAGGAAGAAAAGTAAGGACATGTATAGAAGAATCAGAGAGACATCAAGAAAAGCAGAAAGAATGGACATCCTTTTCACACTCTCTTCCCCACCATCTAAGGCAAGGCTCGCCAACTAGGGCTGTGGGCCACAACTGACCTGCTCACCTATTCTTGTCAATCAAGTGGTATGGCAAGAGTCCTGCTCCTTCATTTACACACTGTCTGTGGCTGCCTTAGCACTAGAAAGGCAGTAGTAGTGATGACAGAGACAGCACAGCCCACAGATATTTAGGTCTGCTATAGAATCAGTATTTTAATTCAGAGGTCAGCAAATTCATCCACTTCTTAAATGCTAGGCCTGTAGACCTTATACTTTTCAGGTAGATTCACAGGCAGACTCTAAAACTTGTGGGCAAAATTACGATGAAAAACAAGTTTATTCAAATTGTCTCAAAGTATCTTCCCACAAAATACTTCTTACAAAGTAAAGATAGTAACTTCACAGTGGAGAAACCTAGCTAATATCACCCTAGCCCGATTAACAACATTAATACGATCAGTAATAGGACAAACTGACATTATGTAGCTCCTTATTTAATACCAAGAATTTCCCTCTTTAAATGTTTAGCTTTAAATGTTTAAAAAAAAAAAAAAAAAGAGCACTTTGATATGTTTCTAAGTTTCCAGAAGGATGGGCTTTTGACATTTTTGTTCTTGTTGGAAATTTCTAGTTCTACTGTAGTGTGATTAGATAGTATAATACTTGTGCTTTATGGGTCTACTTATATGCATTCCTGATGACCTAATAACTGATCAATTTTTATTAATGTTCCAGAGGCACTTGAGCAGAAGGCACAAGCTCTATTATCAGGGTGTAGAGTTAAAGATCTATCTTATTGATCCTATTCTTTGTCTATTTCTTATTCTTTGTTCACTTGATCTGTCTTGTACTGAGTTACACAGGATTTCCAATTATTCGTGTGTTTCTAGCTATGCCTCCCTGGATCCTCTGTAGTTTTTGCTTCCTAAAAGTGACTGATGGGATTCTCAGGACTAAATATTAATAAACACCGTATTAAAGGGGCACTTGGGTGGCTTAGTCAGTTAAGCATCTGCCTTCGGCTCGGGTCATGATCCCAGGGTCCTGGGATCAAGTCCCACATTGGGCTCCCTGCTCAGCAGGAAGCCTGCTTCTCCCTCTCCCACTCCCCCTGCTTGTGTTCCCTCTCTCACTGTGTCTCTGTCAAATAAATAAATAAAAATCTTTTTTAAAAAAATGCTCTTAGTCCCACTTTCTTATTTCACCTTGCCACTGAGTTTCTCAGGTTTCAATGGTATTGTCCTTCAGGGACTCGAACAAGTGCTATCCCTTGTCTGCATTCCATTTGCAGTACTTTCTCTCTAGTCCTTTAAAATTTTTTTTTTTTTTTTTTTTTTTTTTGGGGGGGGGAGAAGGGGGTAGAAGGTGAGAGAGAATCTTTTTTTTTTTAAGGTTTTATTTATCTGAGAGAGAGAGAGATCACAAGCAGGCAGAGAGGCAGGACAGAAAGAGAGGGGAAAGCAGGCTCCCCGCTAAGCAGAGAGCCCTATGCGGGGCTCGACCCCAGGACCCTGAGATCATGACCTGAACTGAAGGCAGAGGCTTAACCCTCTGAGCCACCCAGGCGCCCTGGTGAGAGAGAATCTTAAGCAGACTCCACACTAAGTGTGGAGGTGGACACAGGGCTCGATCTCACCACCCAGAGATCATGACCTGAGTTGAAATCAAGAGTTAGACACTTAAAGGACTGGGCCACCCAGGCACCCCTTTAGTCCTTTTACATGATTTATTTTCATTCTCTTAGGGTTGTTTCCCTTCTGCCTTTATTCAATGCCCTTTATTAAATTTTCATTTGCGTCTTTGTGCAACTTTGTAATTTTTTCACTTCTAAGACATCTTTTTCTTCCATTTGTTTCCCGACCTCAATCAACTCTCATTTGTTCCTCTCTCTTCTCCTTTTCCTTTTTTTCCCATCCCCCTCTACCTTGTGGTCTATTTCTGTTCTTAGTTTTTAACTTTCTGATTCAAGGTAGTTGTCCTTATCTTTGAATGCACAAGTATATTTGCTTCCATTTGGGGTTTTATTTTATAGTTTTCTTCTTCTTCATGGCTACTTCTCTGAGGGGAAATTTCCTTAGCATGAATTAGATTTTCTCTTCTGATTTTTTTTCAGTAACATTGTACGGATCTTTGAAATCTTTCACTTCAAATCTGTTCATTTTTGTGGTATTAGAGTATTTCATGAGATTCGTAGTTTAATTAGTGCCCTCTTCTGTCAATGTGGCAAAGTCAAAACAATTTAGGGGAATTTTATTTGTTTTTATGGTTAGAGAGACACAGTATCCTCTGATTTCATAGTTCTCCCTTTTGTAGGCTGTTATATTTTACTTCCCCTTTGCCCTTCTGTGATTATTGATGTACTGCTTTCAACTTGAAATTCATCTTTTTTGCCAGTTCCATGAAAGTAGATCTGAGCCCTTTAGCTATTTTCCTTTGCCAGTTAGCCCTGGAGCTCTGTCAGTAGAGGGCACTGGAAAAACACTGCAGGAGGAGAGTGCTCTGCTGTGGGTTCCAGTGTGCCGCTTGGCAAGTCTCTCCAGTGCATGTGGCTCTCCCTGGCACAAGGATCCTGCCACATCCCAGCATCTTCAGCACCTGTCTCTTGCAGCACAAAGACCGCAGCAACCAACAGCTTCCCTGAGCAATTCCCACTATCTAGAAGAAAGTAAATAGCTTTCTCTGCCACCCCAGAGAATAGATTTGCATTAAGTTCCAGAGGGCAGATTTTCAGCAAATTCTACCAGGCATCAGAGTGACCTCCCCGCCATCCAGTAAGCAACGGACATATGCTCTCCAACAAGGTCAGGACTCAGCCCTGGGGCTGGTGGGGCTCAGTCTTGGGATGCTGAATCTCAGCCCCTGGAGTAGGAGCTTTACTTGGTATTTGCTATTCCTGTATTCTCTACTTCCCACTAGTCTATCCCACATTACTCCAGTTCTGTATTATAGCTACTAATTCCTTGTATCATCTTCCCCTGTTCAAATTACTATGCAGTTTCTCTCTCCTGATTGGATCCAAAACATAAATGTTTTTTCCTTCACTGCTCAACTGATAAAAGGCATTTTCTCCTTTCTTTTTTGTCTTTTTTCTTCTTTCTTTCTTTCATAAGTTGTATGTTTTGAATCATGCCTATTTATACCTCTCTGTCTACCTGAACACTTTCTAGTAATTACATTTGTAGGATGGGATTAGTTTTTCTGGTGTTGGCTTAAAATCAACCTTAAGTCCTATTTCAAATTCTCTTCCTCTGCATGGTTTTTATTGATCTGCCTTTATAAAGCCTTAGGGCAGAGTTGAGTGAGGCGGGAGCGCGAGAGAGTTGGTGGTTTTGGTTTCTCTTCTTACTTATTTTGGAGTTTAGGCTAGGTATCCTTTATCTTCAAATTATGGTGAGGATGTGGTTTTTGCATAGTTTTATTTCTTCTTTCTCATTATTGCTTTATTTTAGGAGGAAACACCGGGAGATGGGAACTTAAACTGTCTTCACTGACTTCAGTTACCCTGAACTCCTTATCATCTGGATTTCTACAAGCTTGAGACTCACCTACTTCTAACAATAATCAAAGGAGAAGGAAAACAAAGGCATGAAAACAAGAATCAAAATTTTAGAAAGGCTCTAGCTCTGTTGCTAGTATTTACTTAGTGTTGGATGATTCACTCAGCTAGTGTTAGGAGTATCTCATGTGTTTGTTTGTTTTTTAAAAGATTTTATTTATTTATTTTAGTAAGTACTTTTAACAAATCTCTGTGATGATTCTAATCTAGCTAGTCAGGGCCCCTCACTTAAGAACTCTTAGACAAGCTAATCAAGGATATCATACCTAGTTAAACAAGTCCATGTAAGCTTTTCTGATTCAATAAGCTCTAGTGATCCCAACTTTCAATATAAAATCAAACAATGGATTAGTGATAAACTTCCCCAATTATAAGATGATTTTTCCCTATTTACTTTTTTTCTTTGTTACCCAAATATTTTAAAGCAACTAGAGCAGGTAAAAACGGATGGGGGGTCGTGGAGAACGACCCCTCCCACAATTTATTTAATAACAAACAAAAGCAACTGTATTTAATGCATGAAGAGAAGAAAACAAACAAACACAAGATGATGGAAAAACACCATAATCTGTTCCTAATACACTTTGTAAACTAAATCACTTTCATAGAGGAACAAGCTATATTTTTTGTTCATATTAAACTTAAACACAGTACAGGTAGGTGCAATTGTGGCTCATTCTTTCCAGGTCCCATATATTCTTTAGAAGTAAATGCAAAATGGGGTGCCTGGGTAGCTCAGTTGGTTAAGCACCTGACTCTTAATTTTCAGCTCAGGTCATGATCTCAGGGTCATGGGATAGAGTCCTGCTATGGGCTCAGTGGGCAGTCCACTTGGGATTCTGTCTATCTCTATCTGTCTACCCCTCCCCTGGCTCGTTCTCTCTCTCAAATAAATAAATAAATCTTAAAAAAAAAAAAGAAGTAAATGCAAACAATTCCTTCTCATTTTGAAAAGCCACTGTAAATCTGACATCAAGAAATCATACAAGCTTGAAGCTCCCATTTCAAAGTATGATCTATAAATACTTTCTAAGAAAAATAAATGTGAACAAAGACATATATAAAAGCAATGTTAATGCAAGGAAATTCATAGGCTCTCTCCTCTGTCTCAGCATTTTGTCATCTGAAGGATCTGGAGGAAATAACAGACGTCTGTCTCTATGAACACAGTGCAACTAAGAAAGCCACTGCTAAATAATCTGCATGGGACATACCCGATGGCCGCTGGGGTCAGGCGGGTGTGCAGCTGAGGGGTGGTAGAAGTAGTGGTGGTGGTCAGGGAACCATCTGTTCCAGTCTTCTCCCAGTCAAAAGGATCACTCTCAATTACTCCAAAGGTCTTGATGCTGTTGTCAAACACGGATGTCAGAAGCTAGACCATAAAGAAAAAAACTAGAGTAAGGTAACAATAAGCATTGTCATTTTATTCTTTAAGAGAAAGCTGCCATGTTCACAAATTAGTTTTGTAGTGGGATTAAAAAAAAACCCAGATGGTACAAAGAGGGGAATTTGAAAAAGGACTATATGTGGATAATGATATTGAATTAATACTGATTTTTCTCAGCTGAGGTACTGGTTTGTAGTTATATAGGAGAATATCTCTGTTTTTATAAGATATATAATGAAGCATCTTACCTAAAACCTACTTTCAGATGGTGTGGCAAAAGGAAGTTTGTGTTGTATGTGAAAGATATGTATTCAGTTTTAACCATTTAATCTTTTTTTTTTTTTTTTTGTCAAAAAGGAGTTATTTTTATATGGTTCAGCTTAAATAAGTGAGCAATGTTAACAGCTGTTATATCTAGATTAAGGGGTCTATAGAAGTTCATTGGGCTTTCTTACAGTTCTGAGGGGATTGAAAAATTCTTCAGCTGTATGTGGTATGGGTGTATGTACATATTATCACAAAGAACTCTGCCACTTTATTTGGTTTATATTAAATATTTCATTTTTTTGTCTTTTTTTAAAAGATTTTTTTGAAGTAATCTCTCCACCTAACATGGGGCTTAAACTCACAACCCCAAGATCAAGAGTTGCATGCTCTAAGACTGAGCCAGCCAGGTGCCCCTCATTTTCTTGCCTTCAAATTCCAAAACTCGTATTGCATGGAACACTGGGTGTTATACACAAACAATGAATCAAGGAACACTATTATCAAAAACTAATGATGTACTGTATGGTGACTAACATAACATAATAAAAAAATAAAATTAATTTCAAACTCTGATGTGATATAGATAATAATCTCACAAAAACTGCCCTCTACTGCTTCTGATTTTTAATTTTATGATTATAGCTTCATTCTCTCATTTCTCTTACCCTGTTAGTATCCAAGAATAAATAATAATTTAGATTTCTGTCCTGAGCCATTGGGTAATAAATGGTGGTGTCATTTACTGAAAGGGAAAGCAGAGAGTTTGAGGACTAAGACACTGAGAGTTTTAGGGAGTTTAGGGAGGAAAAGGGTATACTACAAACTCAAGAGTCATCAGCATATAGATATGAATAGGTATTATTTAAAGCAATAGGACCAGATATCAACTAAGGAGAGTAGGTAGCAAAGAGGTCCAAGGGCAAAGGCTAAGGCACTCCAACATTTAGTTAGAAAGAAGACTCACTAAAGCAAAGCAAGGAGAAGTGGCTAGTGAGACAGAAAAACCAAGTGTGTGCAGTTTTAGAGGCTTACTGAAGAGAACATCTGAACAAGATGGCCAAATGCTATCAATTATAAATTGTAAAAGTTATTCCTGATTATTTAATTGGTTTCTCTCTTTTACCCAGACTGGAAGCTCCTAGACGCTGGCACTCGTCTGATCTTGTTCATCATAATATCTAACACAGCAGCTTATATATGAATGCAGTGTTGTGATTTATAAGAAATAAGTTTGGTCAATTGCATAACCAAAATATATTTTTTATATATATTTGATATTTGTCCACAGTTGCTGGGTCACAGGTCCCCAAACGCTTAAAATTTCCTGAGAGAAAAGAACAATAGGAGTATCTTTTGTTATAATATTTGATCTGTAGTCCCAAGTTCCTGAAACCATGTCAGAGCCATAAAGGTAAAATGGCTCTCTTTTTATTCGTAACAAGCCCCTTTCCACCACCACTGAGTTTTTGTTAATGAGGTAACTTTTGGAAAACACCTATGGATAGGGGCTGGTTACCAGAGGAACCAACCCTGTGATTAGAGAGTTGGAACTTTCCTATCCCATGGCCTCCAGTAAAGAGGAGAGGGGCTAGAAGATGAATCAATCACCAATGGTGAATGATTTAACCAATTGTGCCTACATAAAGAAGCCACCACAAAACCCCAAAAGGATGGGGTTTGGAGAGCTCCTGATTGATAAACATAATGGAGGTGCTGAGAGTGATGCCCTTGGAGAGGGCTTGGAGGCTCCACACCCTTTCCTCATACCTTGCCCTATGCGTCTTCTCCATCTGGCTGTTTTGAAATTATACCCTTTGTAATGAATCAGTAATCTGGTGAGAAAACTGGTTTCCCAAGTCCTGTGAGCCCTTCTAGGAAATTAATCAAACCCAAGGAAGGTGTTGTAGGAACCTCTGAATTACAGTCATAGGTCAGTCAGAAGTACAGGTGACAACCAGGACTTGGGATTGACATCTGAAGTGGAGAGTGGTCTTCTGGGATTGAGTCCTTAACCTGTGGAATTTGATGCCATCTATCTCTGGGTGGATAGTGTCAAAAGTGAGTTGAATTGCAGGACACCCAGCTGGTGCCCAGAGAATTGCCTGGTGATGATGGCAGGGAACCTATGTAAGAATTATGAGTGCAGAACCTTTAGTGACTCTAAAAACATTTTGAGAACAAACACTTGCGAGAATATCTATTGCAAGATTCCCAAAAGGAAAAAAAAAAAAAAAAAAACGGAGAAAAGGAAACTAAAAAGATCAAAGGAATTGGAAAAGGCATGGTTATAAAACCTGGGAATTTTTGTTTTGGTCATATTTTTGTTGACTTAAGTTACCTATGTTATAGCATAGATTTCCCCAAATTGTCAAAGTTAGAGGGCTACAGAAAACACACAAGAAAGGAGGATGGATTAAGACCCAGCATATGGTAACAGAAGTTGCAGATCTTGAAGTCCTCTCTCCTGACTCGGGAAATGGAGGTTCTTGCAGAGCGGGCTGCATGCCTCCTGAAAGAGGGAGTCCCTACCCAGGAGGCAGCACCTGCCTTGCTGTGTGAGCACTTAGACGGCTGCCACTAAACGCACTGCCCAGACTGGACTGCCAACGGAATGATCCTAAGCAGTTTGTATGCCAGATGTCCTTTTACTATGAATTATTTTCTTACATTTACCATAGTATTAGCGTATGTCTTAGAAATTGTAGCATATGCTGCTGGGCCTCAGGTAAAAAAAAAAGTTTGTTACTAAGATGGTGATAAAAGAGACCAGCAGAAGGCAGAAGGATGGGAGGCACAGAACAAAAGAAACAGAGAGACCCTCCCTGGCCCTCTAATTTATGGGAGGTTCCCCCTTGTTTCTAGCGCAAACTCTGATTGTTTTGTTTCCCTAACAGCCCAGCTATGCCTTCTGAGAAATGTAACTCCAATGTCATCAGAGTCAGGGGAATCCTAAAACAGCTAAGTCCCCTGAAGCAAAAGGCAAGCCTGCTGCATTATAACCTCTGTTTAGACAGAGGTAACCTCTGTTTAGACAGTCCCATTCCTAAATCTAGAAAGAGATTAACAGGATTAATAAGAAGCTTGGTCAGCTGTGGATTTCCTCTCTATTGTATCCTCTGATTTCGGCAATGTTGTGGCACATTGTATGAACTGGCTGCTCAACACATCTTAGTTTCAGGCTCCCACCATTGTGGATATTTATGGGTTTTATTAGTCTTCTCAACTTGCTAAACAATGCTTAACATAACTGGGACACTCTAATAAAGATACTTTTATGTTCTTATGCCAGGATCACATGATTCTACTAATTGCTGATAAAGATTTCAAATAATTCTTCATATAACTTTTTAGTTCTTTCACTGCAGTTTTATGAACTAGTCATGTTAGTATTTATTTCACAGTGGCTGCTGTATTTGTGGCCACCTCTCCAAAGAAGGCAAGATGGTGAAAAACGACCAGAGCTTTGGCTTTTTTGAATGAGCCAGAAATTGGGTTCAGGCACCACTTCCAGCAGCACGAGTTTCCCCAGACAACGGGTCTAAACTAAATCTCCATAAAATGGGAATAATAACACTACCCTGGTACTACTGTGACACTGCTGGGTGTCCTTACTGTGACAATCATGTGCAAAGGCACCAAGGGTTCTTCTTTATCCAATCTGATGCTATCTTAGTTTCCTATTAACTAGTAACTGTGTCACCTACCAGTGTAGTCTAGGTGTGGAATTCAAGGTTAAGATCTTCCTACACACTCCTCAGAGACATGTTCCTTTCTCAAAACACTTTAAAAAGGATTGTTTAAATTATAAGGTGGCCACAACAGAACTGAATGTTTCTAATCACTACCTACATTTCTGAAACTGTTGGTTCAGCATTTTTTTTTTTTACTTTTAATCTAAAATAAAAATTCACAGAAAATTACAAAAATAGTACAGAGAAATCCTCTTCACCTGGCGTGCTCCAATAGTAACACCTTAAACAGCTAGACTGCAGTATCAAAACCAGCAAAGTGACATGGGTACAATCCACAGAGCTTATCAAATTTCACCAGTTTTACATGCCCTCATGTGCGTATGTGTGTGTTTCCATGTGCATGTATATAAATCCATAGAATTTTATTGACCTGAAGAGATTCGTGGCCCAGCATCTTTTTTTCTCTTACGGTTGCTATACTGTTTCAGAATCTAATAATAAAAACGTTTTCATAATAAGATCTCTGTTTCAATCTTGGCTATAATTCTGATAGCTTCACCTAGTTTAGTTTAACAGATAGAAAACAGTATTTATGCACTGACAAGTTGATTTTTCTTAGATTTCCTTAGTAGGAGACTGTTAGGCAAACTAGGATTCAGTTCAATTTTCCTAACATTTGTTGAAAATTTAGGTGCCAGGCACAGTGCAAGGACAGTGTGGGATTAAAAAAAAGAAGACATGGTTGTACTTTCAGGACTTAAAAGCCAGCTGGGAAGACACCCTTGTATATAAATACGAAGTACTGATAAACTTGGATGTCATTTCCCAAAACACCATAATTTCCAAAAGCAAGTGTCACCCATCATTCTAATTGAGACATGAATAAAAGATTCCTGGTAAAGAGCAAAACAGCTCCTCTCTCTATATCTGCTGTCAGAGCAAGCAATAGCAGGCTACTGGATGAGGTATTAGCCATGTGCAACTTATTTTTTTTAAGGTTTTATTTATTTATTTGACAGAGAGAGAGAGAGAGAGAGCATAAGCATGGGGAGCAGCAGGCAGAGGGAGAAGCAAACTCCCCGCTGAGCAAGGAACCCAATGCAGGACTCAACCCCAGGACCCTAGGAGCATAACCTGAGGCAAAGGCAGACGCCTAACTGACTCAGTCACCCAGGCACCCCTCACAATAGTCTTCTTTAGATTATAGACAGAACTAAGTGGCGAATGTGATAAAAAATTTTTATTTGCTCAACTCTTATACTCCTGTGCAAACTCGATCAATAAAAAAATTTTTGCACCTAAGGTGGGAACATTTTCCAGCTCTTCCTGAATCTAGTATTATAGCTTTAATTTCATTATTTTAAGTAATATGAGCTCTGTGCATTTCAGAAATACCTATGAAATGTAAATATAAGAACACGCTCCAAAACACCTTGTATTTTCTCCATTTGTAAGAGTCTCTAGTTATTAACACAAATTGCCACATAGGAAAGAAGGTGATAAGCTCACCCACTTAAGGTCTCTAAGGACCCAAGACTATATGCTGTCTCTCTGCTTTATATCCTGTTTATATTTATACAAAAGCTGCCATTTCACACAGAAATAGTTAATATATATGAATAAGTTCATTGGGCTTTGATGTCTTCTGACTGGGCAAACTGACAATGTTGTAGAATATAAAACTTTCTTTAACAGTAAAGTCTATGTATTGCACTTTGCGGGTAAAAATGATAAACTAATACATAATTTTTACAGGCACAGCTCAGAGATACTACAGGCTGGGTTCCAGACCACCACAATAAGGCAAATATTGCAATAAAGTGAGTCAAATGACTTCTTTGGTGTCCCAGTGCATATAAAAGTTATGTTTACACTATACCGAACAATAGTATTAAGTATACAATAGTTTTATGTTGTACACTAAGAAAACAATACACATGCCTTAATTGAAAATACTTTATTGCTAAAAGATCCTAACCATCACCTCAGCTTTCATTAATTAAGTGTAATCTTTTTGCTGCTAGAGGGTCTTGCCTCAATGCTGATGGCTGCGGACTACCCAGGGTGGTTGCTGATAAACACAGGGGGTGGCTGTGGCAATTTCTTAAAATAAGGCAATAATGACTCTGCCACACTGAATGAGTATTCCTTTCACAAGTGATTTCTCTGTTCCACATGACGCTGTTTGACAGCATTTTACCTACAGAACTTCTTTCAAAACTGGAGTCAACCCTCTCAAAATCTGTCACAGCTTTCTCAGCTAAGTTTATGGAATAGTCTAAGTCCTTTGTAGTCATTTCAATAATCTTCAGAGCATCTTCACCAGGAGTGGATTCCATCTCAAGAAGCTATTTTCTCTGCTCAACCATAGAAGCAACTGGTCATCCATTACAGTTTTATCATGAGCTGGCGGCAACTCAGTCATATCTTCAGGCTCCACTTCCTATTCTAGTTCTCCTGCTATTCCCACCACATCTTCAGTTAGTTCCTCCACTGAAGTCTTAAAGCCCTCAAAGTCATCCAAGAGGTTGAGAAGTTCTTCCAGACTCCTCTGTTAGTGATAATATTTTGACTTCTTCCCAAGAATCACTAATGTTCTTAATGACATCTAGAATGGTAAATCCTTTCCAGAAAGTTTTCAATTTAGTTTGCCCAGAGCTATCAAAGGAATCACTGTCTACAGCACCAACTGCCTTACAAAATGTATTTCTTAAACAGTGAGACTTGAAAGTTGAAATGACATCTTGACCCATGGCTGCAGAATGGAGGCAGTGGTGAGCAGGCATGAAAACAACATTAATCTCATTGTACATCTCCAACAGAGCTCTTGGGTGACCAGGTGCATGGTCAGTGTGCACTCATATTTTGAAAGGAATCTTTTTTTTCTGAGCAGTAGGTCCTAACAGTGGGCTTAAAATATTCAGTAAACCATGTTGTAAACAGATGTGCTGTCATCTAGGTATTGTTGTCCCATTTAGAGAGCACAGGCAGAGTAGATTTAGCATAATTTGTAAGGGCCCTAAGATTTTCAGAGTGGTAAATGGTCACTGGTTTCAGCTTCAAGTCACCAGCCACAGTAACTTCTAACCAGAGAGTCAATCTGTCCCTTGAAGCTTTGAAGCCAGGCATTGACTTCTCCTACCTAGCTAGGAAAATCCTAGATGGCTCTTCTTCCAATAGAAGGCTGTTTTGTCTACACTGAAAATCCGTTGTTTAGTGTAGTAGCCACCTTCAGAAGCTAGATCTTCTGGATAACTTGCTGCCTCACCTTGTACTTTTATGTTACAATGAAGGCTTCTTTCCTTAAACTTCATGAACCAACCTCTGCTAGCTTCAAACTTTTCTTTGGAAACTTCCTAATCTCTCTCAGCCTTCGCAGAATTCAAGAGTCACGACCTTGCTCTGGATTAGGCTTTGGCTTCAGGGAATGCTGTGGCTGGTCTGATTTTCTATTAAGACCACTAAAAGGGGCGCCTGGGTGGCTCAGTGGGTTAAGCTTCTGCCTTTGGCTCAGGTCATGATCTCAGGGTCCTTGGATCAAGCCCCACATTGGGCTCTCTGCTCAGCAGGGAGCCTGCTTCCTCCTCTCTCTCTGCCTGCCTCTCTGCCTACTTGTGATCTCTCTCTGTCAAATAAATAAAATCTTAAAAAAAAAAAAAAGACCACTAAAACTTTCTCCATATCAGCAATAAGGCTGTTTTGCTTTCTAATCACTCATATGTTCACTAGAGTAGCATTTCTAATTTCCTTCAAGAACTTACCGTTTGCATTCACAACTTGACTAACTATTTGGCACAAGAGGCCTAGCTATCAGCCTATCGTGGCTTTTGGCATGCCTTCCTCACAAGTTTAATCATTTCTAGAAAGCTTTTGATTTAATGTGATAGACATGAAACTCTTATTTTCACTTGAACACTTAGAGGTCACTATAGGATTATTAACTGACCTAATTTCAAGATTATTGTGTTTCAAGGGATAAGGAGGCTGAAGGAGAGGGAGAGACAGGAAATGGCTGGTCAGTGGAGCAGTGAGAACGCACACAACATTTATAGATTAAGTTTTCCATTAATGGGTAGGGTTCATGGCACCCCAAGACAATTATAGTAGTAAACATCAAAGATCACTGATTAGAGATCACTTTACAAATGTAACAATAACAAAAAAGTTTGAAATATTTCAAAAACTATCAAAATGTGACACAGAAACATGAAATAAGTAAATGCTGTTGGAAAAAATGGTGCTGATGGACTCACCCAATGCAAGGTTGCCACAATTTGTAAAAAACGCAACATGTGCAAAGTGCAATGAAATGATGTATGCCTGTTTTAACCTATGTGTGGCTTCATTTATGTCTTCAGAGGTAGTAATTATTTTGCATTAAGCTCCAACTCCTCCCTGAAAGCAACAGAATCTTCTGAAATATATAGTTGGTTGGGGTTAAGGGTGCAATTTGTGGTAAACCTACTCAAGGCCTTATGAATGGACACCCTAAGGAAATCATTCACTGGCCACAGATAAAATGGAGCCAATAATCTTCACTGACTTTGTTCCATAGCATATTAACATATGATATTACAGCCCTTAAGCCCTTGACAGATACATTACCCAGCTGGATATTTTCTTCTGATCAACAAATTAGCTACCGGATTTACATAATTTGGACCATCAGCAGTTTTATACACCAAATGAATCACAGCAGGAACAGTAAAATCTGTTCAATAATAAACAAACCTAAAACTCTAATGAAGTATGCCCACCCAAAATGGAGGAAACACACAGACACACACACACACACACACACACACACACACACACACATTGTCCTCATCAGTCAATTTTACCACATTTCTCAGGATGTATTAAAATATCATTCTAGGGACCTTCCATACTGATGTATAATATAAAATAAGTGAAGATAAAGACTAAATGAGAGAAGAATTAACCCACAGAACTCAAAAAGATGATTACCTGATAGTCTGGTTTTGTAAAATAATCCAAAGAGGAGATGTGATCCAAAAAGATGCTGAATTCTGGAGGGAGATGTTTCAACATAAGCCTGTGGTCATACCTCTCCTTAATAGAACCTACTTGCTCCTGGGAAGTAAAGAGAAGAGGAACCAAAGTCAATTTCTCTTGGCAGCTACACATTAACAGCCTCTCAGTAACAGTCTCAAGGGTATGTACTAGGGAATGAGATAGTGAGTAATTAAGTATAAAGCAAGATCTGAGCTCCAACTAGTAGCTTAATGTACACTGCTTTATGGGGGGAGGAAGGACTGTAATGAATAACCAAAAGGGTAACACAAGAGTTCTGCATCAGTGAATGGACAGTCTGCCAAAATAAAGAGTTGATCTTTAATCTAGTCTATTTTTTTTAATCAACACATGTTTACAGTTTCCAAATTAAACAAAATAATGTAACAATTAAAATTTAAAAGCTTACATGACTTATAAAAAGAAAAAAGGAGAACTAGGGAAAAGAAAAGCTCTGAGGGAAAGCTAGAAATCAGATCAGAAGCAATGATTTAACAGATCCTTAAATGAGTATTCTTCATGTACGTAGAAAAAAATCATAACATTAATTAGATCTTTAATATCAGCTTAATTTTAGTTCTTTTATGTAAGTATATTCTCATCCATTATGTCTACCCGGGAGAAAATTTTATTCCTTCCCTTACCAAAACTGTTATTTCCACTTCCATTTCCAAAATTACCTTGTCCTTTATTTTTCTCCAAGGCAGCTGACCAACCACAAACTCCACCAACATGTAGAATAAGGACCAAAGGTCATCATGTCTTCCCATTTCCTTCATAAGCCAAACAGAATTCAGTCACATTATGTAACTACTCATTTTGAGTATATTACATTGTCTAAGGACTAACCATTGTGTTTCGTCTTACTAGGCTTAAAAATTGTAATGTATTTCGCATAAAATCTTCTGGTAAGTATATCTACATAGCTATATAACAATCTATAACAATGTACATATCAGAATAGATATAATAAAATACTTTTTGCTACAAAACCCAGAAATGCTGGAAATGTAATTAACAGCTCGTTAATTAATAAATGAGTTCATTAAGAAGGGAAAGTGGTTGCCAAGAGCTGAGGGAAAGGGGAAGGGTGAATTAGCATTTAACAAGTATGGAGTTTCACTGCTGCAAAATGAAAAAAGTTCCAGGGGCGCTTGGGTGGCTCAGTGGATTAAAGCCTCTGCCTTCGGCTTGGGTCATGATCCCAGGGTCCTGGGATCGAGCCCCACATTGGGCTCTCCGCTCAGTGGAAGCCTGCTTCTCTTCCTCTCTCTCTCTGCCTCCCTCTCTGCCTACTTGTGATCTCTGGCTGTCAAATAAATAAATAAAATCGTTTTAAAAAAATGAAAAAAGTTCTACAACTCTGTTGCACACTAATATGAATATACTTAACACTGCTGAACTGTGAGCTTAAAAATGGTTAATGTGGATGGCAGCTACACTGGTGAGCAAAGCATAATATACAGAGTTGTTGTATCACTGTGTTGTACACCCAAAACTATTGTTACACTGTGTGTCAACTATACTAAAAGAAAGAAAGATGAATGAATGAATATGACTAACATGGTAAATTTAATGTGATAATGTTTTTTATCGCCATAATAAATAAAGAAAGCAAATTCTAGGAGCCAAAATTAAAGAGAAAGCTGGAAACAAGAGAAGCAAGCTGATGCGGAAGCTTTGGTTTTAGGGGCCTCTGTTACAGGTTTTGTCAACCAGGGTTTTAACAGTGAGGAAAGGGAAAGGTGTGAAAGCACTGAGCCTACACAAGACAGGAGTTGTAACTGAGACACCTCTTAGGCCCTCACCAAAACACCTTGGACCCTCTCAGGGCTATCTCTACTACAATATCTGGTATATACATTATACTACAGTAATTGTTTTTTCTGTAAAATTTAACCACTATCAAAAGGATAAAGTAAGCGATTAAAGACATTGCCCCCACCCCCAAAAAAAACATTGCCCTGAAAATTTGTGGTGACAGACCTGCCCCTCACTCAGATTTGGGGTTTAAATTTACATCACTTGTGTGGTTTGGGAAACAAAATCCAGAAATTTTTTTCTGGGTGAACATGTCCTGTAGTAATAACAGATGCAAATGAAAATCCTCTCAAGATAAAAGCACCTTTAAATTCAGGCCTCAAAGAAGTCCTTATAGACAAAGACCCACCAAATATAAGCTGCTTATTCAGAAGTATAAAATACATTAAGAAGCAACCTATCATAAGCTAATGGCAAGAGAAATTATAGAGCAGAATTAGATATCCAAGAATTCCAGATATGGAATTATAGGATAAAGAATACAAAATTAAAATGTTTAAAATGCTTAAGCAATAGGCGCCTAGGTGGCTCAGTCACTAAGCATCTGCCTTTGGCTCAAGTCATGCCTGGGATGGAGCCCCACATCAGGCTACCTGCTCTGTGGGGAGCCTGCTTCTCCCTCTCCCACACCCCCTGCTTGTGTTGCCTCTCTCGCTGTGTCTCTGTGTCAAATAAATAAAGGCTTTTAAAAAAAATGCTTAAGCAAAAAATGGAATCAAAGTCATAAGATAGGAACCATATCCTATCTAAAAAAAAATAAAAAGACCAGTTTGATTTCAAAAAGGACCAAAAAGAACATCTAGAAATTAAAAGTTCAATGGCTAAGTTAGAAAGCTGGTCAAAAACAGCAAAAAAAAAAAAAAAAAAAAAAAAAAAATGAACAAGAAGACAGATCCGAAGAAATTATCTAGAACACAACACAGAGACACAAGAGAAAACCTGAGAGTGAATTTCAGAGGCATGGAAGACAGAACAAGAAGATCTAACATACATCAATTTGAGATATGAAAAAAGAGGTATTACAAAGAAAGGGGGAAAAGGCAATATTTAAAGAAGAAATGTCTGAGAATCTTCCAGAATCTATGAAAGATGTGAATGTTCAGATTTAGAATGCACAACAAATCCCAAACTGAATAATTATAAAGAAATCCATGTGTAGGCACATTCTAACTTATCTGTAAAACAGCAAAGACAAAAAGCAGGTATCTAAAACGTCGAAGAACAAGGATAAACTAAATGCAAAATAACAATTAAATGAACAAAGATCTTCTGAATAGCAACCACAGAACCAGAAGACAGAATTTCTTCAAATTACTGAGACAAAACAAATATTAATAAAGGACTGAAATGTAGGACAACAATGTAGTGAACAGAGTTCAAGTAGTTTGAAAAGTCCTATACTGTCTAGGAAACATTCATGTTAAAAGTTGAAGATTAAAATATCCAAAAAAAAATGAAATGGAGTATATTTTTAATTTTTTTTAAATTTGTGGAGATTTCTAAAAGTAAAAATATATTATCTTTCTATTAGATATTCTGGAAATGCTTATATAGCTATTATGATCTCTGGAAATGTTTATGCTTATTTCAGAAAAAGTGTCCTATTTCAAACATTCCAATGTGGACCAAAATTTTAAACAGAATTAATTAAAAAGCTTAGTAATTCTAAAGGTTTTTAAGAATATATCTGGAAAATAAGAGTACTTTCTTTTCAAGACAGAATAATTGACTAGATGCCTTATTTTTTTCTAAGTTTATTTATTTTTCGGTAATCTCTACACCCAACATAGGGCCCAAACTCACAACCCTGAGATCAAGTCACATGCTCTTCTGACTAAACCAGCCAGGCACGTACCCTAACTGGATGCCACAAATTAATACAACACTGAATCAAACCAAATGAGCTGAAATGCTTGACAGAGTGCTACATTATTCACTGATAAAAATACTTTTCCTATTTTCAATTTATAATCATATTATTAGAAACAAAATTAACTGGAGCATAACATATAAGACCACAGTGTACTCTTCCTACTATAGTTAGCATTAGTCAAATTTTCATTAAATTTCATTATTTTGGCTTCACAGAACAAGAGTAAAGTAAGATGAAGAAAAGATTTCTCTTTATTTTATGAGGGAACGACATGTTAAACTTCTCACCTCCAACCACGGAAGTTCAAGGATTAAGAATCCACAAAATACCCAACTTTCCTACTCATAATTAAGGTTCAGAATGGGGAAAAAAAATCAGAGAAGAACAAAAGGAGCAAAGTAAAAAAAAAAAAAAGAGAGAGAGAAAGAGAGACTTTAAAAAGTTTACCCAAGAGGTATCATTTCCCAGAAAATTTGAAAGTAGTTTGTACTTGAGATCTTCATGAAAAGAAAAGGTTTAATGGAGAGGGGATACCACAGATTAGATGCATACTACAGATAAAATGATGACCCCTAAATTTCAAGGTATTGTAAGTATGATATTCCCTAATAACTTCTTAAGATTAGAATGCAGGTGTTTTACTTCTTCAAAATTCTGTATCAGATTTGTTAATACTTATACCTAATTAAGGACACAAGGTTCCCTACACACACATACACACACTCTTAGCTATTATCTTCTCTGGCAAATACACTTTATTTTTTATGCAGCTGTACACATCTATCATCTACTATACATACTACGGTACATTAGTATTACTAACACCTTACTCTCTGCTCCCAAGCACCTTCCATACTTGTGTATCTAATGTAAAAAAGTCAATCTCATTCAAGTAATCAGCATGCTTATATAGATCTGACTAGTTCAGATACCTACCCTGTTTCGATGAGCGTTGATTGATGCATAACGAACTGTCCCTCGAAAGCCTGCCACAGCTCGAGGCTACAACACCACCAAGAAAAGAGTAATAAAATGAGCTCCAAATAGCAAAAGACTCAGCACACCCAAACCCATTAAGTAGAAGGGAGAAACATGCATTACTGTCACAATAAAATACTACTTAAATTTCTAATTTTTTTATTGCAAAATTAAAGAAAATTAGAGAGTATCTCTAAATCATGTTAAAAAACTACTAGCATTTTAATTATCAGGGAGTCCCATTTTTTTGTACCTGCATTTTAAAGTAAAGCAGAATTTATGACAAATTCTGTACATTAGAAAACACTAAATACTTTCATATATCCAGAATCATGCCAAGCATTGTAGTATATACACTAATATTCAGGCTCTGGTTACATTTAAGCACAGTAAGACCATAAGGAGTCTGCAAGTAAAGATGCCAACCTACGTCTTGGCTATTTCACTCAAACTCGACTTGAAGACAATGGCAACTTATATCCCTCCCTATACGTGCAATTCATATATTCGTAAATCAAGTTACTGGGTAACTATTACATGCTAGGTACTAAAATAATCCAAACATGAATATTACATGATCCCAGTTCTTGGAGAGCTCAACTTAGAATAAAGTCCAAACTTCTCTTATTTGGCCTAGAAGAGTTCCATGATTTGGCACTGGCCTCATTCCCAAACAGATTTACTTACAGTTTCTCCTACAACCAACTCTTTCCCTGCTTATTCTGCAATTCTCTCCAGTGAAAAGCCAACACTTCACCTTCAATGGCTAACTCTTCTACCCAACACCAAGCCCTCTGCTCAAATGTCCCCTCCTTAGAGAAGTACTCCTTAATCGACCTAATCTAAAATACTACCCACCCCCTTCAATGCCACACCATTCTTTTTTACTCTGCTTTATTTTTTTCTCATAATACCTTTCCTTACCTAAAATTAATTTTATTTAGACTTTTACTTATTTGTTCACCGCCTATTTTATTTCACTGAAATATAGACTCTCTGATGGCACAGTCTTGGTTTGCTCATTTCACAGACACAGAAACAGGCTCTGAAAAGTAACTAAATTTATCTGAACACACAGAATCAGTAGGTGATAAAACAAGCATCAACCAAGGTCTTCTGACTTAAAATCATACACTGTTTCCACTCTACTGCTTCACAAGGATCAAGTCAGTATCCCAAAGACTCAGTATGAAAACTTGACAAACCTGAAAATGACCACAGCCAATAACTTTCATTAGTAGAGGTTTTTCCCACAGTAACCGTTAATTATCTTCAATTAAGATGTGTTACTGTTATAATCAGAAAAAGAGTATAATAAATGTTCTTTTAAAAATCTTTAGCTACCAGAATCATTCTGGTCATATGCTGTAAGATAGACATTCTATGTATTCTTCCTTTGATCATTTTTGTAACATGTGTTATCTTTTCAAATTAGTTTTCCATTTATTTCTTGTTTCATGAAATTCTGTCTTCTTTTTAAAAATTTTCATTCCATTTCATTTTTAAATAAGCTCCACACCCAGTATGGGGCTTGAACCCACGACCCCAAGATCAAGAGTCACATACTCTACTGACTGAGCCAACCAAGTGCCCTTCTCTTTCCATTTTAATTACTCCTTTTTGTTTTTGTCTTAAGATTTAACAATTTTAAAAATATTCTTGGGGCACCTGGGTGGCTCAGAGGTTAAGCTTCTGCCTTCAGTTCAGGTCATGATCCCAGGCTCCTGGGATCGAGCCCGGCCATCAGGCTCTCTGCTCAGCAGGGAGCCTGCTTCCCCCTCACCCGCCGCCTGCTGCTCTGCCTACTTGTGATCTCTCTCTGTCAAATAAATAAATAAAATCTTCAAAAAAATTTCTTTGTATTTAATGATAACTCTCATTAATCAAAAGTTCCTGTGATATATTTAAATCCCTTTTCTCACCTGCCATTCATTGACAATCATAGTCAGTAGATCTCAGTATTTTCCTACAATATCCCAACTAACAGGAATAGCTAATATTCTCAATTTGATGGAACTCTGAGATCAGAGATTTCTTTTCTAGACAAAGAATGTATAAGATTATACACGAAAGTCTATCAACTCTATTCAGTAAATAACATTTCACATTCATTACCTGACAAGAGCATTCACTAACAAAAATGTTTTCATAGCATGTACTTTTTCCCAGTTATTTTCACTCCAGTAACTATCAGGATAAAAATCTCCAGAGCTATTACCACACTCTGCAATCCAGTCCACAGTTAATTGGACACCTAGATGTCCCCCTGATAGATTCTAGCCAAGACAAACCCAGGAGACTCTTTCCAGTTAAGAGTACCCCTGACTTTGCTTCTGCCATGGAAAGGTTGGGCCAGAGAGAAAAAGAGATCAGCTGTTTAGAAAGATCTTGATGTGATTCATCAAAGAAATTATGCCAGGTCAAGAAAATTCAGCGATCTTATATAAAGCAGAAAAGAAAACTCAACCCACCTGGGAAAAATAGCCATATATAGAACTACTTCTAATTTAAAGCAGATTATAATTAAGATCATTAGCAAAGTACAATAAGCTATGAAAGCCTAGGAATGGAAAGCATTAGTTCCATTTGGTGAGAGGGGAGAAGGCAAAGTCCTGCTGAAGAAGAAATAATCTTAAGAATAAGCAACATTTAATGGGACCTTAAAATAGATGGTCTCTTGACTGTCCAGGAAAAGCTCTCAGTTTTTCCCCACTGAGGATAATATTAGCTGTGGGTCTTTCATACACGACCTTCATGATGTTGAGGTATGTCCCTTCGTTATGTACTTTGTTGAGGGTTTTTTAATCAAGAATGGATACTGTGTATTGTCAAATGCTTTTTCTGCATCTATTGAGAGGACCACATGGTTGTTATCCTATTTTTTTTAAATTTTTTTAATTTGTTATTTTTTTATTTTTTATTTTTTTAATTTTTTTTAAATTTATTTTCAGCATAACAGTATTCATTGTTTTTACACCACACCCAGTGCTCCATGCAGTCCGTGCCCTCTCCAATACCCACCACCTGGTTCCCCCAACCTCCCAGCCCCCGCCCCTTCAAAACCCTCAGATTGTTTTTCAGAGTCCATAGTCTCTCATGGTTCACTTCCCCTTCCAATTCCCCTCAAATCCCTTCTCCTCTCTAACACCCCTTGTCCTCCATGCTATTTGTTATGTTCCACAAATAAGTGAAACCATATGATAATTGACTCTCTCTGCTTGACTTATTTCACTCAGCATACTCTCCTATTATATTTTTAAAGATACTATTTATTTGAGAGAGAGAGCACAAGCAGGGGGAGGGGCAGAGGGAGAAGGACAAGCAGACTCCCCACTGAGCACAGAGCCCAATGCAGGGCTCAATCCCAGGACCCTGAGATCATGACCTGAGACAAAATTGGAAGTCAGACACTTAACCAACCAAGCCATCCAGGCACCCACTTATTCTTTCTATTACTAATGTGGTGTATCAGGCTGATTGATTTGTGAATACTGAAGCATCCCTAGAGCCCAAGAATAAATCTCACTTGGAGGTTCTTCAAAAAGTTAAAAAGAGTTACCCTATGACCCAGCAATTGCCCTACTAGGTATTTACACAAAGGATACAAAAACACAGATTCAAAGGGTTACATGCACTCTAATTTTTATAGCAACACTATCAACAATAGCCAAACTATGGAAAGAGCCCAGATGTCCACTGAATAATGAATGGATAAAGATGATGTGGTGTATATACATAGTGGAATATTATACTTAGCCATCAAAAAGAATAAAATCTTGCCATTTGGAACAACTTGGATGGAGGTAGAGTGTATTATGCTAAGTGAAATAAGTCACTCAGAGGAAGACAAATACCATGACTTCACTCATATGTGGAATTTAAGAAACAAAACAGATCAACATATTGGATGGGCGAAAAAGAGAGATAGGGAAACAAACCATAAGAGACTTTTTAAAAAAGATTATATTTAGTTATGTGAGAGAAATAGAGTGTGCATGAGAAGTGGAAAAGGAGAAGGAGAGGCAGAGAATCTCCACTTGATCTTAGCCCAAAGGCTGAGAAATGTATGAGGCAGAGAATCTCAAATTGAGCTTGATCCCATGACCCCAAGACCATGACCTGAGCCAAAACCAAGAGCTGGACACTCAACTGATTGAGCCACCCAGGCACCCCAACCATAAGAAACTCTTAAAGATATAATAAACCACGGGTTGATGGAAGGAGGTGGGTAGGGGATTAGCTAGATGGGTGGTGGGCATTAAGGAAGGCACTTGCTATGATGAGCACTGGGTGTTGTATGTAAGTGATGAACCACGGAATTCTACTCTTAAAACCAATACTGCACTGTACTGTTAACCAACTAAAATTTAAATAAAAATTTGAAAAAGAAAAAAACTAAGTGATCTCTTGAAACCTCCCTAACTAATGGCAATTGGGCAATATCTATCAAAACTTCAAAGGCACACATTCTCCTTGAAAAAGTCATTTCACTTCTGGAAATTTATATTACATATATACTTGCATATGTGCAAAAATAACGGACATAACACATTCACGCACTACATTAATGTTTGTGATAGCAAAAGACTGAAAGTAACCCATATGTCCACAAATATGTTCATAAATAGACTGATTAAATAAATTACAGTACATCCTTAAAACAGAATACACTTTGCAGCTTCACAAAAGAATGAAGACGCTCTATATCCTGACATGGAAAGATCTTGTACATACACTGTGGAAAAAAAGACAAGTGCAGAATGTACATCATGCTACCTTTTAAATCAAAAAGAGAAAAATGAGAATATACATTCATCTATATTGCATATTCAAGAAGAAATTCTGGAAGAATACATTTAAGAAAAAACAAAAATATTGTTACCTAAAGGTCTGAAGAAGGCATAAGAGCAGTATAGAAAATGAATGCATTTGGGATAGCGGGGATGAAAGAGAGATTTGTTTCATTGCTTCTTACCATTTAGTTTTTTTCAAGTCAATTTTCAAGGTACAGTGTATTCTTATCA